TCTTCAACTGGTCGCCTGTTCGTCACCGATCGCAAATCCAAGACACAGTTCCTGGTCGACACTGGGAGCGACCTCTGTGTCTTCCCGCGGTCGCTGCTGCGAGAGCGTCGTGCACGGACTACGTATCAGCTAAGTGCCGCTAATGGTTCTTGTATAAACACTTACGGTTATGTTCATTTACAACTTGACTTTTGTTTACGTAGAACTTTTAAATGGCGTTTTGTTGTTGCCGATGTGACTAAACCTATTATAGGTGTAGATTTTTTAAATCATTACAATTTAATAGTTGACTGTCGTAACAAACGCATAATAGACAATACAACATCTGTAACAGCTTGTGCGTTGCGAGTTGAATGCAACGACATTTCGTCGGTCAAAGTCCAATCGGGTGACTCGGGTTACCATAAAATTTTGTCGGACTTTCCCGATATTACCCGACCATCCGGCACGCACCGTATCATACCACACAACACGGTACACCACATTCGCACTACACCAGGCCCACCAGTATCTTGTTCACCTCGTCGCCTCGCTCCAGATAAATTAAAAATCGCCAAAGAAGAATTCCAGGCTATGTTAGAATGCGGTATCGCTAGGCCGTCTGAAAGTCCTTGGTCGTCACCGTTACATTTAGTACCCAAAAAGGACAACGGTTGGCGTCCTTGTGGAGACTATCGGATGTTAAACGCCAGGACAATTCCTGATAGGTATCCTATTAGGCATATACAGGACTTCGCTCACAGTATAGCAGGGTGTAAAGTATTTAGTACACTGGACCTAGTTAAAGCGTATAACCAAATTCCTGTGAGTCCTGAGGACATTCCTAAAACCGCAATAACAACTCCATTTGGTTTGTATGAGTTCCCGTTCATGAATTTTGGCCTTTCAAATGCAGGGCAATCGTTCCAGAGGTTCGTGGACGAAATGACAAGAGGACTTGATTTTTGTTATTGTTATTTAGACGATTTTTTAATTTTTTCAAAAGACGAGACAGAACACAAAAACCATTTACGAATTATCTTCCAACGTTTAAAGGACTATGGTATGGTCATTAACGTGTCTAAGTGTGTATTCGGAGCCCAAGAAGTGTCATTTTTAGGTTATCACATTTCCGCGAGTGGCACCAAACCGCTAGACACTAAGATAGAAGCGATTAAAAATTTTCCCGTTCCTACTAACATTCGTCAACTACGGCGTTTTCTAGGAATGATTAATTTTTACAGACGTTTCCTACCGCGCGCGGCTGAGTTACAAGCGCCACTAAATAAGTTATTAGTTGGAATAGTAAAAAACAACCAACCGATAACATTGAAAGATGAGTCACTCGATGCGTTCGAGCGCTGTAAACAATCTCTTTCAGACGCTGCATTATTAGCGCACCCGGATTGCCAAGCGAAACTCGCACTTATTACCGACGCATCGGACACAGCTATCGGCGCTGTATTACAACAATTTGCAGGTAACGCGCGGCAACCGCTTGCATTCTTTTCGCGTAAATTAAGTCCATCTCAGGTTAAGTATTCACCTTACGACAGAGAATTATTAGCTATTTATGAGGCCATTAAATATTTTAGGCACATGTTAGAAGCTAGGCATTTTATCATTTATACTGACCACAAGCCGATCAGTTTCGCATTCCACGAACGGAAGAAAAACTGTTCGCCTAGACAGTATAGGCATTTAGATTACATTGCTCAATTTACGACGGATATCCGTCATATTTCCGGTAAGGATAATGTTGTTGCCGACACTTTGTCTCGTGTCGAAGCGTTAGATCAACCTCTAGACTTAGAAGCTTTAGCTAAAAGTCAGGCTAATGACCACGAACTTCAAAAATTAATCACGGAAGGTTCGTCGTTACGTCTAGAAAAATTAACATTACCCGGGTGTCGTACTCCATTGTACTGCGACGTAAGTACACCGACATCTAGGCCGTTTGTAACAAAATATTTCCGTAGACAGGTCTTTGATTGTTTACATTCGTTGAGCCATCCAGGCGCTAATACAACAGCGAAGTTAGTCGCAGAACGCTACGTATGGCCGAGTGTTAGAAAAGACTGTCGTGATTGGGCAAAAACCTGTTTAGATTGTCAGCGCTGTAAGATTACGCGACACGTTAACGCACCGCTAGGGACATTTAATTTGCCCCGCGCGAGATTTAAATATGTTCACATCGATCTCGTAGGGCCGTTGCCGTTATCAGATGGTTATCGATATTGTTTAACTTGCGTTGATCGCTTCACTCGATGGCCAGAAGCTATACCGATCGCGGATATTACAGCGGAGACAGTAGCTAAGGCGTTGCTTTCGTGCTGGATATCGCGTTTTGGCTGCCCGACGGACATCGTAACAGACCGCGGCAGACAGTTTGAGTCAGCGTTATTTCAACACCTCGCGAAAATAGCCGGATTTCAACACAAGCGTACGACTGCTTATCACCCAGCAGCTAACGGTCTCGTTGAACGTTTCCATAGGCAGTTAAAAGCGTCCATAATGTGCCATGCGCCACAAAAATGGACCGAGTCTTTGCCGTGGGTATTGTTAGGGATACGATCGTCGTTTAAAGAAGATTTGAACGCGTCGTCGGCTGAACTTCTTTACGGGGAGCCTCTTAGGTTACCCGGCGAATTTTTTGATCCTTTAAGAAGCGGTACAACTGATATCAGCGATTTCACCGCTCGATTGCGCACTTTTGCCCAACAGTTAAGCCCAACACCAGCCTCGCGACATGGTAGCAAAAGTGTTTTCGTTTTTAAGGACCTTGCCAGTACTGATCACGTCTTCCTGCGTGAAGACGCGGTGCGGGCGTCATTACAACCTGCGTATACCGGTCCTCATAAGGTCGTTTCTAGGAACGACAAATCTTTTACTTTATTAACTAACGGGAAGGAAGTAACAGTCTCCATTGACCGCCTCAAGCCAGCGTACATTTTATGCGACAGTAACAACAATGCCGCAACTAGTGACGATACTATGGCTAAGGAGTATGCAACCCGTTCAGGACGTAAGGTGAAGTTCACCGATTTTTATCGCCCTTAACCAGGTCTCTGGAGGGGGGTGATGTAGGTGACCTCCTACATATTCCCTAGAACACTACACAGACACACACATTCATCACACGCATACTACAACACTCACACATAAACACGGGTGCATGACGAGTGGTCGACGTCACGTCGATTTGTTGACCTCTGATTGGCAAATTCGAATTGCAACGCACAGCTGAGCGGGGGTCACTGACCGGTTTTGCATACGCGCGAAACGACAGTGGAGTTCTGCAGCGCCCGCGACATACCACGCTTTCGATTACGCAACTTGTTCCGTTATTGCTCGAATTTGTATATTTCTCTTTCTCCTACTTGTATTCTTCTTCTTAGTGTTGTACTCTCCTTCTTACTATTTGTTGTGGACTGTGAGTGATAATAAACTGTGTTGTGAATATAACTGTGCCTCATTTCACCTGTCGCCGCACTCACCCTTCACATCATCATCACTCACACCTTCCCACACCGGAGGTGACACCTCATCACCTTTCCCCTTCAACGACGTTCTACCTCGAAACTAGGATTATCGCTTGCCAGGTGGCGGGCGCAATAAAAATTACACCAACACAGTCGGCTCGCGAACAAAGGATGGCGGCACCTTTTATGGCGCGCGCAGGTGCGGATTGCTCAACTTAGTGTCGGGCGGAGCGACAGATGTGCGGCGAGCGGACACGTCCGTTCGCCTCAGCGGTCTGTAGCGGAGTGCGTTTTTGAGAAATACAGTCATGACAGACATACGAACGGACAACAAACTGATCCTATAAGGGTTCCTTTTTTTCCTATGCGGTACGAAACCCAAAAGAAGGGGAAATTAGAAATATATTATAATTACGAACATATTATCTTAAAAACAAATAACTGTGTACTTTTTCTCAAGAGCCTCGATGCCGCATAAATAAAATCAAAATTAGAACAAATGAAATGAGTCATCATCAGCTCACTATACTTCTCCACTGAGAGCCTCGGAGCCTCCCTGAGTCAGGGGTGACTAGGCCATAGTCAACAATGCAGGCACAGTGCGGGTTGGTTGACTTCACAAATATTATTGAACTTCCTCGCAGACATGTGAAGGTTAGATCACGATGTTTTTCTTAACCATAAGAACGTCGGATAAATGTACAATCGACAAACACATTGGTACATGGGTGGAACTCAAACCTAGGATCTGCAGATTACAAGTTAAACTTAACCTCTGATCCACCCACGCCCTTATGATCTCTCTGCTTTACTCTTAACGAAATGTGTTATTTTGTGGAATTTTATTTATGATACTAAAATATTTATCTTTTGTTCCATGTAACGCACATCTTCAATAATAAAGGTAAGTCATAAATATACACTTTCTTACCTTAACACCTTATATATTTTTATTACTTATATATTTTTATTATTGCATTTTTTTGTCACACAGGGTCTAAAACACTGTGTATTCATAAGTATACACATTTTTGTATTTAAACACAATCCAACAAAAAAAATATTGTGTTTTTTTTAAACGGTCACTAAGGGTTTGGCGCTGAGGATGTTAAATATAAATATGCTTGAATTAATAAATAAATTTGATATTCACAATGTTGACTTCATTTATTGAAATTTAAAAAAAATGACTTTTCTAAAATATACTTCTTAAATATTTTATGTGTGGTTTAAGTATTTACTAATGAATTCTTTTTCAGAAATGTTAAGCTGCCCTTTAAAAAAAAACTAAGAATGAGACTTTCAAAACTTCCAAAATCAAATAATTAAAAAAAAAAATATATTTCGGCAACAAAACTATAGTATTTACTCCTAATTATGTTCGTAAGTTTAACCGTAACTCATGTAAACTATGAAGGTTATAAGTAGGTTAAAGTGGTTCCAAAGTTCATGATAAGTGACAACGACAACTCCTAAGTGACAACTAACAAAGTCATCACGGTTACAATAAATGAATAATGTATAATTTTATTATTTCAGACCGAGTGACGTTTAGACCAGAGCGTAAGTTGTCGGGTTTGTGCCGATATTTGTGTTTAGAGGGATAAAGCGAGCTTTTAAACGCTAGTATAGAACTAATGCTTACATTTACTGCTATTGTAGAACGTTTATTGCAAACAAATAAATGCGGACGAAATTTAGAAGAACGGAAAATAACGAGGGACATAAAAAATAGTAATCCATTTCTAAATATTCCAAAACCTATACAGTGATTTATAATCGGTTATAGGCATGGGCGGAACAAAAGGGTAAACAATAAGCTGAATCATTTCGTAAAAAGAAATGTAAGATACCTTTGTCCGGGAGAAATAATAGCCTTTTGAAAGGGTCATTATTGGGCTCTACTCGTAATGGCGATAAACACTTACTCCATTTTGAATATGGGCTATTTCTGGCTTGAAATACGATTACAATAACATTCGAAGACAAATTCAAAGAAAACTATTTAGAAATTGACATTTAAAATTAAAAAAAAATTATTACAAATAGTAATTGATTAAACAGCGCATTGCTTGTTGTGTACGTCTGTTTTAGAATTGTTTTATATCTAACATTTAGCTTGTAGTAGAGCTATTCATAACAGATATAGTTACAGCAAATTAACATCAGCTTCGTAGTGATCGTAGAAAACTTATACTTTACTTTTACAAAACATAACTTGCAAAAATAATAAGCACATGCAGTAAAGAATTATAATTTCAATAAAATAATAAAAAACAGGTTTAATATAATTTATACCTATGTATATCTAATATTATTTATTTATATGTTAGAAAATATGACAAGTTGATTAACTCTTAGCATACATGGGTCAAGATAGAATGTGATTGACGTCAGCCAAAGAACCTGCTCTATCTTGTTTTATTTCTACTGATCTATAAGTGAGGAAAATAGCCTATAAATAAAATTTAAAATAGCGTCTTTGAAAATGTAAAGAAATATTCGGGACCAGGCTAGAATTCTTTATAAAAAAAATATATTACAATGCGTAAAATTAAAAAGGAAGCTGAGTTACATATAATTTAAAATCATAATATAAAATAAGCTTAACCTTTTACCAAAAATAGAAAGATAAATATCAGAATCACATTCTATGAAAATTTCAAAAACCTCTTTTTTGTGAGTCTAGGCAATTTTGCTACGACAATGCTTTCAACTACGACCGTAGCGTAGCAACGTAGCATTCCCTTATCTGTAGTCAAAAACCTTTCGCAAATTGAATTTCAGTAAGAATATATTGCTACGAAAAAATTCAATTATTCTTTGATATTTTCTCATGATTTCAACATTTATATTTTTTCTAGACTTTGTTTTAAGCACCATTTTTATTCCCATATTTGATAAACATTCTCCATAAATTCAATGAAACGATAAAAAAGAACTATACTATATTTAATTATTTTTTTTTATTTAGAAATTTAATAGATATTAGATATAGTTTTTACCGTTTTCGAAACACAATTTATATCTCAATAGGCCCGACAGAAAACACAGATTTCAGTGAAAATATAATGTGTTATACAAAAACAATAGAAAAAATAAAATAAAAAATTAACAAATGTTGCATTTTTGTATATTGTAAAATATTCTTTAAAGTTTAATTAATTATGCTAATTGTCCTTTAGCGAGGTGTAACACATTCCCGAAGACCTTGTCAACGGTACGCAATCACAGACGGTTACAAATTGAAGCTTTTAAAGCTTTTATATATTAACGATTTAAATGTTTTCATTGGATATGAAAAACATCTCAGTGATTTAATCCCATCTTCAAAATCGTTTATAGTGATTAAAGTATCAAATTAATATTACAAAATAAAAGCTGTAGTTCTAGTTCCTGAGTTCGTTTTTCTAGCACATTTTAGAGCTAAATAATTGTAGTTTTTCTCCCTCTCCAACTTATATAAAAAGAAAGAGACGATACGACACTAATTCCTGTACACTAGGCGGCTTAACTAAAATACTTCCATTTGGAAAAGGTTGATTTTGATTCTATTTTATTTAAAAAAAGTACTTTTTTTAAGCTATAAATTAGTCTGTTTTCGTTATTCATTAAATCAGAAGTTAGTAGCCAAGAATATTGTCTGTAATTATTCATAGTACTGAACTTTCATCGAACCGATAGCGCTGTCTTTTATTTTTATGCACCATTTCGTTCGTCGTCTCGCGCCATTCATAAGAAAATTGGCACCGGCAACAAATTTTTACGTTTCGTAACAAATTATTTATTACCGTAACATTAGGTATTCGTTTTGACAATTCTATGAATATTAAAAATTTTAGTGTAGTGTTTTAAAAAGATATTTACGTAACATTGAAAATGACTGCGTCGTACTGTTGCTCTGTCATTAGTCGATCCATAAGTACATAGTCCGGCTTGACAGAAAAAATCTTTTACATTGCTTGTAGGCCAGAGATAGTCTTTTTGTTTTTACAGAACACTTGCATAAAAATTAGCGATATTCTGAAGAAAATTGAAAAAAATTACCGTCTGTATTTCAACAAAAGTGTTGCGTCTGTGGAATTTCCCGGTAATTAACGATACAGCGTAAAAAATAATAATATCACAATTAATCTTATCCTTACATTGTTCTCTCTTTTGTCAATGAAAAAGAAAGAGATGGCAATACGTATTGATAGTAATCAGCTTAAACTGCGGCGGAGACCATCAAGAGGGGAATGTATTGGACAGACATTCTACTAATAAAGGCATGGTGAAATGACGATTGGCAATTGTTTGCTCGTGCCAAATGACGTCAGAGGAGCGTCGGAGACACACGTCCAGTCGTATTCCTACGTCATTGTCAATGAATATAATGATTGTTTTTTTAAAATCCTTACGTATTTTTGGATATCCGGCTCTGTTCAAGCTTTATAGCTTTAAAACTTAGAGCGAATTCTTATTCTGTAACCTTTATTATAAACGTATATAAAAGCCAATAATTTTACGTAATAAGCTTATTTTAATATTGTAAATATCAATAAAACTATTATACAAAAATAAATTTTAAAGAATCATCAAACATTTACTAATTAAAATCGTTGTATGAAATCACTGGTTACAAGAACTAATTGTAGTTGTATGAGTCATTAAAATATATATTATTTACTATAACAATGTATATAGATAGAGAAAAATGTTGTGTATAGATAAAGAATATTTTTCTTTCCCAGTGGATGATAACGGATCAATATCGGAAACAATACCGGATCGCCCAGTCGAGTTGAAGAACTTCCCGAAGCTTTGCGAGCAAAGAAGAAAATTTCCAGTTCTTTACAAATTAGAATTTCAGGTATCTACTGCATTTTTAATATCTATGATATAGACGACGACGAACGACTGTTTATACTTTTATACATTATTAGCTAGAATCCTTTGTCGCGACTCGCGCGCTTTAATTACCATGTCAAGTGTCAGAATGATTAGTGAGGGGACATAAACGTCGATATTTTAGTAAGGCTAGTGTTGCGCCAGTACACCGGTACAGTGTTGGATTTTCTTCCTAGCAATACAGAATATTTTGTCATTTTGCTTCGTTATTAACAGCCTTTTTCTGTAGTTATTTTGTATAGCAATCGCGATTAAACTAGCTTATATCCCTACAGATGGCAGTGAAGGTGGAAACGCATGCTTGTCGACATGCAGCAAAGAAAACAAATTTACATAAAAATCAAAACCAGAAAGTATTACCTTGTAAGTCAACCTTTCCTTATTTCGGTTCAAAATTTTAGAACAAAATGATATAACTTTTTAAATTTTATCTAATGGTACATTAATTTGATATACATTTTAATAAAACTGAACGGACACGAAACAGTTGTATAAAATACTATATGTGATTTTAATATGTAAAATATAAAGTTGTAAAATTTTATTATTTCCACTCAATTTGTTCAATTAACCCCAGTTAATTATTTCATATGAAATCCATATTACAAAAGGATAAAATCAAAAGTACCTAGTTTGTAGTAATTACAGTTTAAAGTTTTATATATTTAACGACAAAATAAGTAACGACCAGATTTAAGAATAAAAGTTGTTGATTCTATAAACTTTGTTATATTTCAAATAATGTGTGAATTTGTTCAGACGATTACAACAGAGTGGTACTGGATACGGTGGACAGGGAACCAGATTCTGATTACATCAACGCTTCCTACATAGATGTAAGTATGCATGCACTATGCTATTGTTATAGTAGTATTTTTTTTATGGTAAAATCTTTCGGTAATACTATACTAAATTTAACAATCATTCCTTACTAAGGGATGTATTTTCAGAAAGCACTCTGAATCTCAAATGTTTCATAGTTTATCTTACTTCTTACAAATATTATAAATGCGAATGTTTGGATGGATGGTGGATAAATGGCTGAATGGATCTCAATTAAATTTGGCACAGATGTAGAACATAGTCTGAAAGAACACAGGCTATTATTTTTTTTTCTTAATTCCGCGTGGACGGTGTCGCAGGTGACCGCTAGTTTTGATAATAAAAATTAAATATCTCGTTTTAAAGTCGATCGATTTAAAGGATTATTTATGCAAAAGATTTTAGCATAATATAACCCTGGCGATTTAAAATTTAAATAACTTTCAAAGTTATTTTCTAAACTCGTTGTCGGCTTATGTTGCTCCAGCTTATTGTTAAGGATTGGGAACACATAATAACGAACTTTTATACTAGAGGCTTTACGAGAAAAACAACTTTAGTTTTAGTTACTTTAAAACTTAAGAACTTAAGTTTTGAACAGAATTATATACTTAACGTGATAACTTTGTATGACTTTAGTAATATTAATTTTTCCACTGAGACGACTGATACAGTAACAACCAATAGATATTTAAAAATAAAACAAACAAATTATCAGAAAGTATTCTTAATGACAATTGGAAAGGAAACGATTCGTATAGACCCGTTTTTTTTTTAAATCACCCTTAAAAAATGTTACGTCTCCCAGTTGGGTAAATATTGAAGTTAAAATGTTATATATAAAATTCTCGTGTCACAATTTTCGTTCCCATACTCCTCCGAAAGGGCTTGACCGATTCTCATGAAATTTTGTGAGCATATTGAGTAGGTCTGAGAATCGGCTAAACTAAATCACTAAATGTTAGGGGGGCTACCCCTAAATTTATTTTTTATTTTTTTACAAACACGCAGACGGAGTCGCGAGCAACAGCTAGTAAATATATATTTTTGTTTCACAGAGTATATTAAAGCCAAACGCGTACATAGTAACCCAGGGGCCAACCGAGGAGACTGTGGTAGATTTCTGGCGTATGATTTGGCAGGAACGTGCAGCTGCCATTGTCATGTTGACTAAAACTTTCGATTTTATAAAGGTAAAAAAATCCATTTTTTATTTATATTAAACTTTACTAAAATCCTCATTGATTATTATTTTATTTGTTTTTATTTTTGTAGGTCATGTGTGTTCAGTACTGGCCACCAAATAAAGAAAAAGACGAAACCTATGGGGACATCAGCGTTGGAATCGTTCAAGAAGAAGAACTTGCCAACTTCCACATTCGCACATTCAGACTGTATAAAAGTGAAAAGAATGTATGTATTCAAATTACTGCTCTAAAGTCCGGCAAACTATAAATAAATTGTTGGATCACGATATTTATATAATGAAAGAAAAATACGTATAATGTGCTCTTTTACTAAGTTTTAAAGACAATTTTATTTTTCATTTGTCATGTTCCGATACAGGTTGTGGTTGAGGAGCGCTTCATTCTGCAGTTTCATTACACGCAGTGGCATTCCCATACCTGTCCCTTCAGCAACGCCCTACTTGAGTTCAGGCGCCGCGTCCGTGCCGTGGTGGGACGCCGGTTAGCGACTAACCCCGCCGCCGGACCAATGGTGGTGCACTGCAAGTGAGTACCACATACTACGAAAATCATTACTTAACCATTATGCAGCACGCGCAGACATTTTAGGGTGGATATAGACTAGAGCATTTTCTTAAACATTTCTATGTATTGCAACATTCTCACGAATGTTACAGGTGAAGGTACAACAGTGCTTAGAAGCTTCTAAAGCACGTCTGCTTCGTGACAGGTTGATAGACCAGAACATATCATAGAGTCGCCCGTTGTTTTCTTACAAGTAAATGCTCCAGTCACTCACCTTATTGCTTTCTTAAAAGCCCTTTAGAGACCATCAAACAAAGAGTTGTTTGACAGATACTTTAAGTAAATCTTTCTCTTTTAATATGCAGTGACGGCGGAGGACGATCAGGCGTATACTTAGCCATAGATGCTAATCTAGAACTTGCAGAAGAAGAAGACAGCTTTGATGTTTACGGATATTTAAAGAAGCTAAGAAAATCTCGGAAGGGACTTATAGAAAATGAGGTGATTAATTAAACTTATTGTATACCCAAATATTAGCTATGATGTTATAAACTTTACAGTACAAACAATGTTTTCCGCAGGAACAATACAAATTTGTTTACGATACATTGGAGGAGCATGTTGTTTGCGGAATTTCATGGTTTCCAGTTTCGGAACTTTCACAACGACTGAAGCAGAAATCTCAAAGGGATTCAGTCACTAAATTGAATGAATACCAAAAAGAGTATCAGCAGATTTGCAAACAGACTCCTCGGTTCACGATTGGCGACTGTGCCGGCGGACATCGGGGAGACAACAGGGAGAAAAACCGAGATGTCTTAGTCGTACCACGTAAGTAACAATGGAATCACAAATAAATTTCTCTTTGAAAATATTATGTTACTAAACCTTTATTTTTTATTTGTAGCTGATAATTTTCGTCCGTACTTGACATCCTTTCAGGGGAATAGTTTCACAGATTACATCAACGCAGTATTCGTAGACGTAAGTATAATATATTTAAATACTTTATATGATGGATAGATCATAACTTTGGGTCGAATATACGTAATTGCTTCAACTTTCAGGGTTACACGAAGCCTCGTGAATACATAGTTACCGAATGGCCATTAATAAGAACTCAAGGAGAGTTTTGGTCCTTAGTGTATGATTACGAATGCGCGGCTGTTGTCGTATTGTGTGTTCCTCCGAAAAATTCGGTATGTAAACCAGTAAATTTATATTTTTTATTTAATTTACTTATATATTACAGTTGTCAGAAATATTTTTTTGTTATTTTAGCAACAGTATCCCCCGTTTTGGCCAGAAGGACGCCATTCTAAGAAGTACGGTCCAGTGTTCACTATCGACCATGTTTCTCATAATCATTACACCAACATCAAAACCTGGATATTTAGAATTAACAAAAAGGTAAAAGTTTTTTTTTTCGTAACTTACATACTTTTTAATAACCTAAACCGAGTTCTCGATTTCATATTTTCCTTAGTTTTCTGTATTGCTATAATTTTTTTATTCGTAATTTATATTTTAGATAGTATCGCTCACGGAGCTGATGGCCGGTGTGAAGGCGCCGCCGAAGACCGTACAGTTGTTCCAACTGACATGCTGGCCGATGGGTCATAAGGTGCCCTCCTCTACCAACTCGCTGGTCGAGCTCATGAACATGGTAGAGCGCTGGCGGCAGCGCACCGATTACGGACCCGTCTGCGTTGTCTCGCCGTGCGTAAATACATAGGATATCGCTTTTACAGGTATACAAATATTTTTCGTTTTACAATAATGACATCTAATTTCGTAGAGATGGTAGGAGTCGCGCGGGGGTGTACTGCGCGGCGAACGCCTGCATCGAACAAGTCATTCAACACGGCGAAGTTGATGTGTTCCAGGCCGTCAAAACTGTACGCCGACATCGACCGCAACTCGTCGAGAACATGGTAAGTGACAAACATAACTCGAAAACGATAATTGTAGCCCATTTGTTATTTATTCACTTTTTATTTTTTAGACCGAATACAAATACTGCTATGATCTCGTGCTGCATTACGTGCTGCATTACTTAAATAAGGACATGAATGAAAAAAAGTGAGAGTGTGAATTAAAGGACGAACTCTGGTTCATCGAGTTTGGACGCGGTGCGGCGCTACCTACTACGCCGGAGGAAACCAGTCCGACGGCACCCCCGCGCGACAAGCGGCCCCAGCGCCCGCTGCGACCCAGGCGCGGCTTGTCGCTCGACCGTCTACTGCCGACTCCCTCGCGGCCGCCGCTGCCACACGCCGCCACGATGGAGGCACCGCGTCGACCTCGCCGCGACCGACCACCCCTGCGCCGCTCCATACGCCTCGAAGACGAAGAAGGCGCAGCGGAGGAGCGTCGCCGGGTGTTTGGCCACGGCCCACGTGCTCCCTCTTTCGACGAAGGAGACGTAAGCGACGAACACGATGTAGAATGTGAATGTCGCAGGTCATTTGAGCGTTCGGGTCCCTCCGCCGAAACGCAAGAAGATGAAGACGAATACGAACCAGAGTTCGTCACCTCTCCACCTATTGAACCTTTACCGAAAACACACCCGCACATGCGCGGCGCCTCCGCGGATCGTGTACTGGACCGGAGGGATGGTATGTTCGGTCCCCGCGGACCTTCTCGGGCTCAATCGCAGGGTGTGTTTGAAAGGCGATTGCCAAAGATTTATAAACTGGGTTTGATGGATAAATCTAAGCGAGCCAGTTCTAGTGCACTTTATGATCGAACTGATCGATCTCCGACCGAGGCCTTTTACAATGCGACCGGTTCCACGCGACTCAGCTCGCAGGAGCTTTTCGAAAAATTTTGTTCCGAAGATTTCACTTCACTCTATGGACGGGAAGACGATCGACGCCGACGTCCTCCACATTCAAAATCGACGGGAAGCAGCGGCTCTGATGTCCGCCACGAAAGAACTTGCTGCAAACGAACACCGTGCGGTTCGCAGCCAGCACTTTCTCGCCGTAAAATATACCACGCACCGCGGTCAGATCGCTCCACGGATTCCGAAGAGATGTCACCGCGGCGTTCCGGTCTAAGACCTCTACCCCTCGAAGGCAGTGCACAAACGTCAGAAGATTGTTCTCGGTCGGCTCCACTTCTTAGCCCCGATAGATTTGAGGCCCGTTTCACTTTTGATATATCTGAAAGGAGTGAAGTTACATCAAATCGTGACGAAACTCCTTCCGATGCCACTGAGACACGGAATCTAACTTTATACGAGGAACCGCACTCCGATCGTACAAGCATTTGCGAATTATACGATGCAGCATTTACATCTCATAGACCTTCTTTTAGAAGAGATGGCTCGAGACGACGAGTGGGTCCCTTCGACTTGAGCGCTCTGGACTTTCGACCTATCGATGACGAAAGCCCGCGTGCAAGTCGTCGCACCTCGCAACGAAGTGTTGATGATACCATGCGTCAAACCTCGGAGTCTCGAAGCTGGGCGTCGGATTCGGTATTCGCAACTCCGGAGCGGCGAGTCGCCGATACATCGCCATCTTCTACCGGAACCCGACGTTATTTAGCTGTGCAGGCCGAGTCTCCTCGAGCGGATTCCGTAGCGGCAGATTCGACCTTCGCGGATACGACCGTTGCTGAAGAACCTAGCGTAATCGAGCGTTCCGAATACGCATTAGCTCTTAAACTCGGGCGAATAGACTTGGCAGATGCCCCTGAGCGCCCAGCGTCCACTTTGACTGCGGACAGTGCGAGGTTATCGAGTAGGCCCTCCATGCATAAACTCGAACCCATAGAGCCCGAGCGACTGTGTGGCGGAGGTATGGGTGGTGGTAGTGAGAGTGAGGCGGAGAGCACGCGAGCGAGCTCCGCGGCGGCGGGTGCGGAGTCGTCTGTAGGGCGGCGGCGGCGCGGAACCAGCGAGCCGCGGCGCTCGGCGCGCTGCTTCCCGCTCTGATGGCGCGCGGCGGCGCCGGGCCCGCCTCCGCGCCGCAGCCGCCGCGCTCCCCACGCCGTGCCTTCTCGCCGCCGCTCGCGCGCGGATGCGATTGTGAATCTAAACTTTTTATTGAAAAATATAGATATTCGTACGTTAGTTAGAGGGTCCACTGTAGGTATAGCTTAGCGGACCCGTTCCGACTCCTTAGTATGTGATTAAATTCTTTTTACACTATTGATAACCTTAGTCTTCGCCTGTTCACTAAACCGTAACTGCCAAAATTTCTATAAAAACGTATAAATTTGTTAGCATTATTTGTAAAAATAAAGAATAAATCTAAGTATGGACGAAATCGTTCGTTAGGCTGCGCCTGGGGCGACTACCTGCGTAGACTAAAAGATTCTAAAAAAAATTAGATAGAAACAAAATCGATCTAAAGGCTCTTCGTGGATACTTTGGTCGCAGTCCATGATTGACACAGGGTCATCATATAAATACATTTCTCCATCAATCACACCGACCTTCTAAAAGGTTCATAATTTACAGCCCAATTATGAAACAATTTTAAAACATCGCTAATTTCAGTGTGACTGAAATTTTATAAACTGGTAGAGAATGTAAAAAAAAGTTTCTTTTAACTGTAAATATTTTATTGTGTTCGCATACATAACATTTAAAATCTTTATTTATATTATTTATCGGCTATGCTCTCAAAATATAGTTTTAAGATAAGCTAGCAGTAAAAATGAAATTAGAAGAAATAATTTAATTTAATAAAAAATATTTATAATTATATGTATTTTATGTCATTTTTACATTAAAATTAGCAAAAATAATTAATTTAATATTTTGATGTTCGTGTTTTAAAAATCTAGATGTTGTTAGGTGTTCGTAGTTTTATTCCATTGCGTAAGTATGTCCTATTGTACTAAGACTTAATTTATGTGAATGATATTAATTCTCAATACATACTGGTACACATCCAAAACTGAGACGTCCGTCCACAAATTATAAAACCAACCTTTCATTGCTTGGTTAACTATGTCAAATATACCTATTTTTTTTTATTGATCTGCTCCATAGAATGTCACATGCCAGGTCGTACTTAATTTTAGTTACATATTAATATTATTTTCCTACATCCTTACTGTTGTACCTTTTATATGTATTTATATTTAATGCAAAACACACATATTTCACAAATCAACGATTAGTTAACTGGAAGACAACTGGAATTAGACCAAGGCCTTCTATTATATAAAAAAAATGAAAAGTTTGAATCTTAACACGCGGTCGCGTCCGCGAAATAATATCAGTCCCACTCACCCTGATGAAGGGCCGATGGGCTCGAAACTAGTCGGTGCCGCCACCGGACGAATATACGTGAGTGTTTAGCCGTGTTTATATATCAGTTTAGTATAATGTATCAAAGTTAATGTTTGGTACATTAACTTTGATACATTAAGTTTGTATCATTTAATAGTAAAAAAACATGTAAAACTAGAACAAGAATTAATTAAATTTTTACAATCGTTCACATAAATTAAGTCTTCAGTAAAATTTTGTATACCTAATTATGTTTGTGCTATTGTATATTGTTTGTGATTGTAAATCACCGTATATTTAATATATGTAACAATTTATAAATATATATTTTGTAATGTGTATTCCTTTGTACGTTTTAACATTATAAATGTCATGTACTTAACTCATATGTGCCAACTGCAAAAGCAACGGTACTTTATATACCTTTAAAATATATTATATAAATATATACGATATATATATAAAAATATTCCAATATATGTATGTCATTTGCATGAACATTAATTGTACCTCCTTGTAAGTAGTATGCGTAATAAAATGATACAAGCGTTAGAAATATAACAGCGTCCTAAGTTCGAATCCTAAAGGTACGCGTACATTGGCCCGCGCCGGACGCATCACACCGAACGTCGCAGATGATGGACACAGCGCTATGTAACAACGTACAGAGCAAACTAAATTCTGCAGCGGGTAGTGCGTGAGGAGCGTCCGACGCGGGCCAATGGACGCGTACCTTTACAGTGGTTTATTAATATATTTATTGCTGTAAACTCGTTGTTATTGTATAAAATAATTTTCTTTGGCAATCATGTAAATGGTACTGGTCAAAGGAATATTACCTAATTAAATTTTTACTTCAAGAAACAAGACATTCATCGTATGTGTGCATTATGCGTAAATAATATTTTTAAATGTTCAAGAAAACGGATTTATCGGTACCAATTTTGTATATTAACAAATTTTAATGGCGAATACTTTTTAATTAGTAACTGAATACGATAAACGTTTAATTTTTATTTTGTCTCAGTGACATTTTTATTAAGGTAAATATACATAATGCATTTTATATTATTATATAATTTAGTTAATGGGCATTATTTTTTGACTATTGCTGATGAGATTCCGCTGTCCATGGACTATTATTTCTATTTTTTTCAAAGAAAATGATAAGGTAGACAATTGGTTTTTCTAGAGATGAAACTCACGGCTATAATACAATAGTGTTAAAATGAAAACGCACAACCATTATCGAGATCTGAATTAATGAATGAATGAGCGTGTTTGTATTAATAATTTTTTAAATACAAGGCTTCTAAATAAATGTTTAAAGACTGTGTGAAATTAACTGGTCTGAGGGCCTAGCACAAATATTTGTGACACGCGCCTTCTTAACGTTATCGACTAAGTATGTCAAAATTTGTATGAGATTTGTTGGTGTAGTTAACGCCTGGTAGACTAGGTAGGTATTTTAATACTTTTGTCGATGACGTTACGAGAACGTTCTCACTAATGTTCGTGCTAGGACGTCTGTGTGTCCTACGATATAATAACTGACTGACTGTATCCATTGTATTTATATTTATTGAAATTGTTTTCGGTTTTGTCTGTCGAAGTATTAAGTTACGTGTCCATTGGCTAACACCGGACGCACGACACGAACGGTTTAAACGGATTTGCTTTGTCTTTCTATGCAGACCGCGGATGATAAACGCAGCGCTATATAAAATCATGCAAAGGAAACTAAAATCCAGTCCCGGTGCGTCCGGTGCGGGTTAATGGACTCGTACCTTTAATGTATAATTTTCTCCGAAAAACAGACACAAAGTTGATGCAATCTTCAGTAGTGGAAAT